ATAGGCACTGAATTAAATATTTTTATAAGGGAAATATGCAAATTTAATAGCTGTGGTGGCTACATATTTGATTTCATTTGTTCAAAGTTGAAGCTTGAAGGCGAGACATCTGTAACAAAATGTCCAACTGACTGTCAATTTCGAAATGTCGCACTTTACCCAGACGAYGCTTTATGTATTAAATATTTGTTGTATCACTTTATTGTTTAAAAATAGAAAAAATATATATACATATATCCTGAGARAATATTCTCTCATAAAATAGAGCGTATATAAAGGGTGATCCATTCCGAAATTCCCTGCTTTTTTKACGAAAGAAACACAGAAACTTCGTACATAGTGGAGAATATTTATTATCATTCGAAAGAACATACTTTGGTATTTRCTTTTTTAAGATTATCTCTTTCAAATGTTAGCCGSCGCTACYTCTCAGGTAATCCATCTGTTGAGTCGAATTTTCGATGACACGTTCGAGAATTTCGACTGGTAACTGGCAAATGTCTAGCGTTTCGTTTTTCTCSAAAGCCAGAATGGAAGCGAGGTTGTCCGCATAGATTTTATACTTYACATATCCCCACAGGAAAAAGTGTAACGGTGTGATATCTTACTRTATTGGTGGCCAATCAACCGATCCTAAACTTGAATTATTTGCTCATTGAAGCGTTCTCTCAATAAAGTCATTGATTGATGCGATATGTGGGAAGTGGAGCCGTCTTGTTGAAGCCAAATGTTCTCGAGGTCACGAGCTAAAATTTCAGGCATCAAATAGTTGGCTTTCATCGGCATAATTTTTAAAGAAGTATGGACCAAAATGGGCCGCAYCGCTGAACAAAATTTGACTCGAAAACTAACGAAGCGATGGCACTTGGAAACGTCGAGCGGCTTCAGCTCTTGCATAAACTGTATTTTGTACGCTTTTAATTTAAGATCCCGACATAAAATGCGCCAAGTCGGTCCATAACTCAGTGCGAGTTGCTGAAAACGGCGCCGAATCGACTATCCACAGTTTTTTTGTACACTCTCAACTACGGCTGCTATATTTTCTTCACTGCGTGCTAGACGTAATATATTCAGTTGAATATTATTCAGTAATTAATACTGGATCTCAAGATGGGCGATAGTATTGCGAATAGTACGCTCAGTTGGCMGATTATGTTGGCCATAAGTTGAGTGAAGCGCGCGAAACTCATTCCTTATAGAACGTGAATTTTCGTAAAAAAGATAAACGATCGATTTGTAAACCTTCTTCAGGCGTGAGTCCTTCCATGATGAAATGAAAAGCGCAATACTGAACAAAAATTATAATATATTTTGACACGACTCACGCCTGATCTGTCAAAAAAAAAAAAAAAAACAATGCTTTTCACAAAAGTGTCTCAACTTGTATCACCCTTCACATTGGAAAGTTTGCATGTTTCCGTCAAAATGCCACCTTACCCGTTCGCTTCACGATTCCCTGAAGCAATTTGTTTATAAATATTAATTTATTATTAATCGCCACGACCCACCCAGCAATGRCACCGCCAGCCTGTGGCGATTCGCATGCAAAGTGAGTCAACATCGGGTGTCACATTTATGTGCTAGGCGCCCCAAACTGGCAAAGTCACATACAAATTAAGTGTTTACGATTGGCAACACTTGCCATATATTTCAGTTTTTTTTAATTTTTTTTTCACTATTTTCAGTTTCGCTCGCTTAAGGGAAAGCATTTAMTTATTGCAAATGTGTCTCAAAACAATATATTAGAAATAATTGGCAAACAATTGCTTTGAGCTTTTCCTAAGAAAAAAATAATTGCAGCGAATTAGCATATTTTTAGCTAAATATTGTGAATGATGTAACATTATTTTTCACGAATTTGTTTTTTGCAGTTTATTTATTTCTACTTATCTATATATTTTATAAAAATTATTTTGGATCACTAATTTTAATTTTTTTATATATTATATATTTTTATTATACGCTAAGAAAATTATGCGTGTGTCTACTACGAAGTTTGTAAACCCCAGAAAGAAACGTCGAGACCCCATAAAATATTAACTAAGTAAGCGGAGCAGCATGATGAGCTGAGTCGATTTAGCCATGTCCGTCCGTTTGTTTATATATGCGCGAACTGGTTCTTCAGTTTATGAAATATGGAACTGAARATTTTTCCTGCCATCCTATACCCTCAACTTATATACATATTCCTATATGTGTATTTCTTCGAGTTATATGAGTTGCTCATTGGTCCTTGAAAAGTTATAGTCCGATTTCGACAAATTTTGGGCGTGAAATTATATACATATACTATTAGTTTTATTCTGATAACTTCATTTATATTTGATTCGTAAATGTGAAATGAAAGAATCGGATGGAATTTAGAAGTTCGTTATATGAGAAGTAGGCGAGATTGTCATTCGAGGTTATACATAGAAGYGAAGCAAATGGGTCTGGTAGTGAAGGAGATCAAGACGAAATATCTCCTGTCATCAAAGAAACAGTCATTCATGACTTGGTTCCCACGTCAGTGTTGATAGTCATAACTTTGACCACCAACAACAACGTCAGGCTCGAAATCTAACGCATAATAACTCTTGCCAACAGGTGCTACTTCGGACTGAGTGAGCAAATGAGAAGTAAAGTCTTCTTTTATCGAACCAGAAGAAGRCCAAATTTATAGTCACTCATCATCTCCGTCCTGCTATATGGTTCAGAGGAATAGACGATGACAATATTTGATAAGTCGGCGTTACGAGTTTTTGCGAGAAAGGCTCTGCGGAAGATATATGGTTTTTGCGCATTGGCAACGGGGAATACCGCAGTCGATGGAACGATGATTGATTAATTTATTTTCAGAGATTTGGATGATATGTACATTAAACTATATACAGAACGGAGCTATGCTCATTTAAAAAAAAATTTTAGCCCAAAATTGTCCCTCGCTACCGAAATCCCTTGTACCGAGCTATTCTCTTTCTTCTATTTTTTACTCTCTGTAGGAACATGTTGCGAGAGTATAAAGAGTCCCACTATGCCAAATCTACAGAATACGTTTGACGAGAAAGCAGTTAGTGSTCTAATTTGAACAAGTTTACCGTGGTAACGGCGCAATTGTGAGCCGGTAAAATAGCACTTTTGTATTATCCAAATGAAGCTGTTAATCTTAAGTTCTTTACCAATAAACTAAAAGAAAAGATAARATAAATAGACTAGGATTGCACCGCAATCTTAGATCTAATGTGTGATCTCCTGAATCACAAAGATCCATTTAGACTCAGCGTATCGATAAATTCCAAAATACTGCTAGGTGCTAGTGAGGCGATGTGATCGCTGTTTGGAAACATGGGTTCCAGAGATTTTATACTGCGTCTGCCGACTGCTATGCTAGAAAGTAGGCTCATGTTATATACATAAGTGGTCAGTGTAGAATGCGACAGGTAGCCTGAGTTTGTTTCTAAGGACAGGTTTACATATTTAAACCTGCTGAGGATATAACCCCCCAATAGCAACTGATAAACCATACCCAATAAGCCATCAGACATGTTTCGCGCATAAAAAATATCCCGCCTCGCTTTTATTCAAAAAGCATCCCTTTTTATCCATAATATTTTCTTGAATAAGAATTGACCATATTTATGGTCAAATGAATCAAACTATTGGCAGGTATTTAGTTAACAATATAAATCGTCTGAGCGATTAATGGTCTTGACAGGACTGTGCAACAAGCCATWTAGCCCTTGAAGCTATATTTTTTGGGATGATGGAATTATATCAGCAAATTGTACTGACATACAAATATCTTTTTTTACTGGAAAATTTATTAATGGAAACCCTTTATAAAGAGAATACATATGTGACCAAAGAGAAGAGTCTTTTCATATCAGGAGATTTGCTTATATCCAGTGTTTTCTTTCAAATTATCAAACTTACGTCACTTCAAATCTTTATCTCATGAACCAATAGTCCGACAAGAATTAAAATTATTCATGCTTCTTCCTCCYCTGAGTGCATTCTAAACGAAGTGATTCCAACTTTTTAGTGTGCCTTGTATAAGATTTGTCGGTGTGGCAGTAGTCWGATTATGATTTAATCGTATACAAAAATGCTACCATAACCCCAAAATTGTATTGTCTTGATTTTTACTTAAATTATCTGCTAAAGGACGGAAGAACAGACTAACAGAGATACTACCCGCTAATTCRATATGAATGCATAGAACAGTTAAAATGGGCAGTGTAACATATGAGTTTCATCCACAGACAAGGAAGTTACGAAGGGACACCGTGTATTTCTTCGTCAATGATAGAGTAGTGTCGACATAGTGGGACGCGGTCGCATCGGTTTTTAAAGAACGACGTCCTTGTTTAGTTAAGTTAAGCGTTAGGTTTTAAGATGAGTTGCACGTCTGCTGATTCCTAATTTCTCAATAAATGTCCTTCCTTATATAGGCTGAGGGGCCTTCTAACGATGCATGATGACAGTGTTCTCGTTGTTACGAAAAATACTAGGTGACAGGTCAGCCATATACATTTAAAACGACATGCTCAGACTCAAATATCGTTTCTTTCGAACCTTTAACAATTTGGTCGGTTTTGAATTGTGATTAGAAAAAAAAGTATATAATATAATTTGTTTAATTTTAATTTAATTATAAACAATTTCATAAACTGAATATCTGATTATAACAACACATATATCAAATAATTGTTCCGCCTTAATGTCATAAACGCGTTACATACATTTCCGAACGCATTTCGTAGCGAAGGCTTGTTTTGTTAATCTAAATATTCGGCAKATTATTGCTATTTAGATAATATCCAAACAGATATTTGAAGTATGTTATAGTAAACAAAATATGGAATTAAGAGTAAAGAAATTAATAATTTTTTATCAGCAAAAATAATAAATTTGTTTAATAATTATTTAGAAACAGAATTTTCAGAAGTAACTGCAAAATGCAACCCTTGGGTGCAGCGTTTACTCCGTTATTTGACWTATGAACGATTTTGACATTTCAGCACTATTAACAAAAAGTGCATCAATTGTTTGCTATTCTACGTGCTTTCTGAACCAAAAATGAATATAAATAAATAAAAAGTGAAAATAGTAAAGTTTTAAAGACGGCGAAGTATTTACCAGCATTGAGGGGTGTAGAATGGAAACAGATGATTTGTCGCATTTAACCGAAGAATACAGACTGGATAACACAGATTTGGGTGCGCATATGCAAAACCAATAACGGGATTATTTACTRTCAGCAATTAATAAAAATCTTTCAAATWAACAGATAGCATAATGACGAATGAAATTTTCCAACACAATTTGTATATGGACGATCAAGAAGTAGACGAAAATGAGCCGGATGATGTTATCATTCTACATATGGACATACGTGAGCCTTTGCGAACATTGCAGTGAGTAGGCGGCGGAATTGTTCACTTCCTGTCGCTGTGTAAAATAAATAGCATTTTTAATTGATTTTGTTGCTCTACTAATTGCAGAAAGCTGGCTGAAAAGAAGATTGGAATGAATTTGAAAGGTTACAAGTTCTTTCTGCAAGACACACAAGAGGTTAGAATATGAGATTTTATTTCTAATTYTGTTATAATTGTGAAATTGTCTTTCTGTTATGATTGACAGCTGGAACCTCATAAAAATCTTGTTGACCAATGYGTGAAAGGTGAAGGATTGGTGCAGATAAATGTACAAATACAAACAGCAGAACAGCATATAAACATAGTTGATGTGCTAAAACCAACAGAGGCGGCCTTGGGTAAGATTAAGACTTGTAACTAAATTTAGAGATGTTATTCTTTTACTTACCACAAATATCTTTCAATTGTAGCTGCTTTAGCCGCTGAAGAAGCAAACAACAAAAACGCTGATAACAATGAAGAAACCGAAGAAAAACCTTGCCTCAACTGGGTCCTAGACAATAAATTTAAGAAGGAGCAAGTGCGTCTTAAAATACCAGAAGACCCTAATGAGTGGACAACGGTACAAGTAAAACACTGGTTTCAATGGGCTGTAAGGCAATTTGAGTTGGTAAGTGAAGTAACTGAAATATTTAAAAGAAGTACCAATCAATAGTTAAAGAAGAATATCCATCAAAACAAATAGAACAGATTTATAGGTTTGCAGTTCATTTAAAAATATTCCTTTCAAAGCTTAAATGCACAAGTATGCTTCAATTTAAAAAACATTTGGACAACTTCTTTCCGTGATTTTGAAAATGATTTCCCATAATACTCTACGCAGAATTTTTCCGGCCATGTGTATAAAAATTTACGTGTGCGCCACTAAAATTGTTTGTAAATTAGTGTCCTTCTCTTGGTGCCGATATTAAAAAAAAAAAAAACATATAAAAAAAATCGAAAGTGCTGCTTGATCACAGTATTTGACGGAATATAAGCCTCGATACCGTTAAAGTTATCCAATTAATGTTATAGAGCCGTCWTTTTCTTATTGCGGTCAATCCGCCATTTGTTTTTGCGGCATTATGAAGTTTTTCATATCAAGGATCAGTTGTCTGGAGGTTGAAGACGACCTTAGACTCAACATTAAGTCGCGTAGCCCCCTTAGGAGGAGATGTACGCACTTCTAAGAAAGAGCTCCGATATATGCATATATATATTTGTGATTTTGAAAATGCGTAACGTTTTCCGTATAATACAATGCACTGAATTTTTTCGGCAAGTGCTTACAGATTTACTTGGTCGGCACGAAAACTTTTTTGTAAATTTGTGAAGTGAGAGTGTGTGTTTTTATTGATTTCGATATGGAAAAATATCAAAAGTGCTGCTGAACCACAATCCTTGACGGAATATGAACATCGATCTCTTTTAAGTTATTGAATCGTCTATTTCTTATTGCGGTCAAACCTCAATAAATTTTTACGGCATTAAAAAGTTTTTCTAATAAAGCAGCAGTTTGGAGGCTGAAGACGGCTTGACATTCAACATTGTGACACTTCTAAGAAAGGTGTAARTTCCAATGGATGCATATATATACCTTTGCTACATAAGAATTTCGAATCTTACACAMCTTTTTGCACATAATGAGCCTCACAAAAGCATTTGCATCAGAAAACATTTGAAAAAAAAAAATACATTTACAACTACACTAAGGAAATGAAAGTATCCCTAAGCCTTCTCTAAGTTTATTGATTTTTATTAACCGTATTTCATTAATATTTCAGACTGGCGTTAGCTTGAGTGATTGGGCTATGACGGGAAAAGAGCTTTGTTCACTAACACATGAAGAATTTCGACGAAAGTTACCCAAAGATCCGGGTAATGTGTTCTGGACACATTTGCAATTGCTTAAAGAATGCAAATTTGTCTCCGTTGTACACAAGGTGCCTGAAGATCGTGGCACAACCGGTTCCACTGCTACGAAGCCAATTACCACTGGTATTGGTGCAGCAGCGCCGCCAATAAAAGAATTGAAAATAATGCGCAAAACAAGTGTAAGCGCTACAAAAACCTACTGTAAGAAAAGCAAGTAAAATAAACCTTTATCAATAWTTCCTGTTAATAATTTCAACTATATGCTTACAGCACCGATAGTACCAATGGATGGTTCGCCAACACACACCATACTTAACAACAGCAACACTGGTGGTAATAGTAGCATCGGCAGTAATTATGGTGTCGGTTCCGGCAATAATGGACAAGTACAGCTGTGGCAATTTCTGCTAGAAATTTTAACCGATCGTGAACATCGCAACATCATCCAATGGGTTGGSAGCGATGGCGAATTCAAACTCATCGACCCGGAGTGCGTAGCGCGACTGTGGGGCATTAAGAAGAATAAACCGGCAATGAATTATGAAAAGTTATCGCGTGCCTTGCGCTATTACTACGATGGTGATATGATATCCAAAGTGTCGGGCAAACGTTTCGCTTATAAGTTTGATTGTGATTTGAAGCTGTTGATTGGCTATGATGCCGGCGAATTGGCGCAATTGGTCAGTGAGAAGACTTTTTTAGACGAGTCGGTGTTTTTGAAACATGAATCATTGCAAGATCACCTCAAACAATTGACGGACGATGGGTGACATGGGCAAGATGGCGCATATGCCGAATTTAAAGTGAAAACAGAACCTGTTTGCACGTTGGAAATAGAGCCCTACCTCGAATATGAGGATGAAGATGAAGAGGATAATTAATTAATGAATTGCGTTTTGATTTCTCATTTACKTTTTTACTGCGACAAAATATATTTTTATTTACATTATTGGTATACCACAACATATGGCGTTAACACAACAAATGAAAAATATAATTTCAGCACTTTATTTAAATTATAAAAACAAATGTTATTTTATTTGTGATTTATATATTTTTTATTTTTTTGTT